GTCCACAACCTGTTCTAATGCTTTTTCTTTATACCTGTAATTAAAATCAAGCGCATTACATCAGCTATGAACATGCTAGAATTCAGGTTTGATAATAGAATAGAAACTTCCCTGGGTTGCTAAAACACTGCTCTTCAAGTCTAAAATTAATTCTAATTAAGTTAACACTAAGTGGGAAATAGTGACTTCCCATCTGTGAGAAAGTATACATGCCTCCCTTAATCCCCCTAAATCTAAATATGTAAAATCAGGGCTTATCATGCACCCACAAAAAGCAACTAAGGGGAAATTTGCATACTAGCAAAGCATAAAAATAAATATGCAATTTCCTTTTCAAAGAACAGCGAAAAGATATGAAGATGAGTTCCTTGAGGAAGCCGTCAGTGGTGTAATGTAAGTAATTCATTGACTGCCAAAATATTACATAATGCTGCAGCTTGCCAAGCACCCACAGCGCTTGTTTGTATCTGATCTTACAGTCTGAGGCTTGTTAGAAACCACAACACGGTTAAAAACAAAGATATTTAATGCTGTCAATGCTAAGTGTTGTGGTATTTTCTTTAACCTCCTAAGACCCAAACTCTTCCACGACATGCATTTTTAATTTCTCTTTGATTTCTGGGCATATTGGGGCCCGATGAATGTAAAAACCAAGAATTACCAGATTTTTTTTTACCTTATTTTTGTTTTTAAGAACAATAAGAGCCACATATGAGGATATTCGTTTAAAGTTTTGATAGAACAGCAGCAGTATAATGTCCTCGTAAGTGGATATCAGGCCCATGTAGAGCAAAATTGAGTATTTTGGTCTAAATAACCCAAAATGGGATGTCCACATATGTGGACGACAGGTCCTAGGAGGTTAACAACCTCAATTAAAAAAAAAAAACCTTTAAAAGAATTCACCTTCCTGTTTTTAGAAGTACAGTAATGCTCAGCAATTCCAGTACACCATAGCAAATATTGTTTATTCTTTATTTTTCCTGTTTGATGAAGACTTCTTACTGAGGTCAGGGCTGGTTAGAGTTGGTAGGTGGCTTCTTCTGTCTTTTTTTCCCCCAAACAGCAGCAATGATTGCTTAATCGTGAATGGTGCTGCCTTTCTTTTTAATTATGTTTCTGAGTAGAGATGTAACAATCAATGTCAGCCTTTGGATCAATTAAAGTAACTATAATAGGTTTATTTAACAACTTAGGGACAGCAACAATGCTTCTAACAAACACAGTGCAACAATATCACCTATTTTGAGTCATGTTTCTGGTTGTGTGAAGTATACCATTGCGGTCATGCACTCATCATGGACTTGAATGTCATGATAATTTGGGGCTTTTAAAGATGTATTTGAACTTTCTTTTTGCCAGTGTGTAATGACTGTGCTGCGTAGCTCTTTAATGATTTAAACAAATAAATGAAGTGCACAAGTTTGATTTTGAAAGTTTCTCTAATCCACACAGTTCAAATGTATATATGTAGGCTCAGGTTTATATATAAATACCCACTGATATTTGGTTAAATTAACAAGTTACACCTTGACCACAGGTAGGTCAACAAGCTTTGGATATGACTCTGGCTGTATATTTGACTAGTCCTTCTGGTAGAATTGGTAGATTTATTTATATTGGTTGGTTTCCTGGCATGGACCCAGATTTTAAGCGCTGTCCACAAATTTTCAATAGGGTTGAGGTCAGGACTTTGGCTAGAAGGCCATTCTAGAAGCACAAGGTTAACCTTGTCTTGTCCATTCAGATAAAGCAGTTTTGATAATTGTCTTGTTGCAACACCCAAATATGTCCACATTTCAACTACCTAGCTGTTGATTTCAGGTGAAGTTGAAAAACTTGGAGGTATTCCTTCTTCATTATTCTATCCACTTTGTGTAAATCAGTGACAGCACCACTGGCACCAAAGCAGCCCCAGACCATGATGCTACCACCACATACTTGACAGTGTGTGCAGTGTTCTTAGGTTAGAAAAACTCAACCAAGCATACACCTTATTATTGTGGCCAAGTAGCTCAATTGTCTCTTCTGACCATAAAATCTTTCTCAAATTTTTTTTATTGGCTTGTTCATGTGGAAAACTACAAATTTCAGTCAAGCTTGAAAGTGTCAGTTTTGAAGCCTGTTTCAGTCCTGTCTTCATCTACTCACCCCCAAACAGCCGCGCCAGCTGTCCACTCCTCCCTGAGCCTGGTTCTGCTAGAGCTTTCTTCCTGTTTAAAGGGAGTTTTTCCTTCTCACTGCTGCCAGACTGCATAAGGGGTGATATAATTTGGGGGGGTCTCTGTTTTCTTTGTTTTATTAAAGGGTCTTTGTAGGGTCTCTTACAATATAGAGACCCTACACTGAAGGCTGGACAGTCCTGCCTTGAGGCAACTATTGTTGTGATTCGGCACTATATGAGCTGTTAGGGTTAGGGCCTTGGAGACCCATCCACCGACCCATCCAAGGCGTACTCTGAGTGGCAGGAGAATAATATGAGTATAGCGCCACCATGGCTGGAGATTGAGCAACACTAGAAGAGCATATGGGAGAAGGACACAACTCAAAGGTAATGCTCAGTGGCTTCATAGTTGATCTATGAACAGACCACAGCAACCTTACTGAACAGGACCCAGTAACCATCACAGCAGTAGACATCCAACAAAGTGTCTCCAGTATGAAGAATTGTCACCAGGCCCTGACATGGCTCACACCTACTGGCTAAATGCATTTGGCGAGCATCTGGCAGCACAGATGAACCAGCTGCTATTTGATGAGGGACACCCGGAATGGCTACTGAAGGCTGGACTGTCCTGATCCCCAAGGATCCCCAGAAGTGACAGCTCCCATACAAAGGAGGCTCCAAACAACCATGTGCTCACCTCAGACAGCAGAAACCCAAGAAAGAGGAGGAAAAGGAGCAACCATCATGGAAAGACAGGCCACGGTATGTACCACCAGCAGACAAAGGAAGTGGCTGACATCCAGAAGTCCTTCCAGTGAATGGACAAAAGAAAAATAGATAGCACAGAGTCAGCACAGGAACAAGCTCTGAGCAGACGATCCATCGAGGCTCGGATCTATCACACCAGGCAAGACCCCAGGTGCAGGCTGTGTACAGATGTCCCTGGGGCAATCCAGCACATAACAGCAGGGTGCAAGATGCTAGCAGGCCTAACATCTAGCACGCCTTAACCAAGTGGCCAGCATACAGAAAAATCTGTGCCGAATATGGCCTGGAGGTCCAGAGGTCAAAATAGGAGATGGGGTGGTGGAGAATGGCTGAACTAAGATCCTGGGGGAGCTCCAGATACAGATGGACAAATTAGTGGTGGATAACCAACTGCACAAAGTGGTGGCAGAAGAACAGAAGAAGATGGCTGTAGTGATAGGTGTAGCGATACCAAATGACAGCAACAACAGGAAGAAGAAACACGAGAAGCTTGTGAAGTTCCAAGGGCTCAGAGAAGAGCTCGAGAAGATGTGGAGGATGAAGGTAACAGTGGTCCCAGTGGTAATCGGAGCACTAGATGCAGTGACTCCCAAGCTAGGCGAGTGACTCCAGTGGATCTCAGGAACAACATTGGAGATCTCCGTCTAGAAGAGCGGAGTCCTAGGAACAGCTAACATAATGTACCAGAACCTCAAGTTGACAGGCCTCTGGTAGAGGACGCGAGTTTTGAAGGACCCCACAGGGGCGACTGCCCACAGGGGCAACTTCAACTCTGTGATATTCAGCAAAAGGAAAAAGAAATTCTTTTTTTAAAAAATCTATATTAGCTTGTATTTTGACCCTGTTTGCATGAAAGAAAATGCAAAATAAATTAAAACCGGTGCACCCAACCCTTGTTCCAATCCGTTTTTTTAAGCCACTGAAGATGTACACTGTGCAATCATTCCGAAGAACAAAGAAACCAGTAAAAAAGCAGTTACTGGTACATGGAATAATTATTAGAAAAGTCAGTAAAAAGTAAGCCCAAAATTACCATTACAGTCATGCCCATGATGACTTCTGACTACAAGTAAGTCCAGGATTTCTTTTAGCTCAGGCTTTGGTCTCACAAAATGCATAAAACTAAGACTCTTTAACAGCTGATCCGTTACATTCACGAGTGTCTGTTTGCCATCAGGCACCAGGCAAGCAGCATACAGTTGGTTCATTGGGGAGTTTATTAGATGAAAATAGCAGCTGTGTCTTGAAATAACACTAAAGTGAGAATGAATCGGAACAGCAAGTCACTACCTTTTAAAGCAAAAGAGTGAAGCATGCGGTGAAAGACAAAATGCAGCCTGCAGTGATAATATTCACAGGTTCTTATTCATTCATACATAATTTATATTGACTTGTTAAAACACACAGACATTAATATGTAAATCTACCCTACATATAATATCTTGTACATCTTTTACACTGGCTTTAACAAGCACTACTAAAAGTATACTTCAACTTACAAGCAAGCTGATGAGTTGTTGTTATTGTGTGACGAACGGCGTTAAAGCTAATAATTAAATCTGATATTTCAGATATTTGTTTTGTCTCTAATTGCCGGTTAGAGACAAAACAAATTCTAATTCTTTCTCCTGGTCCAAACATACCAACTTTTTTTTTTTTAATTTCTATAATACAGGAAAATGTTTGGTGTGTGTGTGTGGGGGGGTGATTCGGGGAAAATCGTGTGCGCTATCCCACACTCAGACGTTTTTTTCAGTGATCTCACATACACTCCTCTGATCCTACTAACACATGAATTGTCATTGAGGCTTTTGTAGACTCTGCAGGGTGCTGTGCTGCACAATTAAAGTTTAGCGCTCAGTACAAACACCTACTGATTACAAATTTGATCAGCGAAACCGATTATTGCTTTTGGACTTTAGCTGTTCCTCCTATTCAGAGACCCAGACTGCACCCCCACCCCCTTTTCTCCTGCGAGCGCCCTCTGCGCGCTGCACCTGTACTGCTGCGGCTTGTGCGTCAGAAGATGGCAACTGATTCTTTAGACCCCTCTGCTAGTGGAGATGGCTGCAGACCTAGTCGACTTTGCGAAGTGGCAACGGGTTCTTCTCTAGCTGCATCTGCACCGCACGCGTTTGACAGTACCTCGGTCCACGCGTTTATTACGTAACAGGAACGCAAGGGCAAACTTTTGGTGACATTTTTACGCACAGATTCCCAGTTTGCACGAGTAGACGACCATTGCGTTGTTCTCTTACTACTTCAACCGCGCGATATTCAGCAAAAGAAAAAAGAAAAACCCAAAGCGCCACGATGCAAGTTTATATAGCTGTGGCATTCGCTTACGGAGTGTGGGGTAAGTTTAACAACTTCTTTCATCACGAAAATATGGGCTGGCTGTATAAGTTATCTTTTTTCAAGTGTTCCAAAATCTATTGTTTTTCACACCAATTTTAAAGGGAACATATTTTCTAATAATGTCTTTTAAGAAGTAGCCGCCGGGTAAATCCAAGTAAATATCTTTCACATAAGCACGGACAACAAAAAGGGTAGAGAGGGAGAGAGAATAGTGATTTCCAGGGTTTCTATCGAATGCATGACAGAAGATGTAGCAGGATAATTCTGTTGCTTTCACGATAGCTTGAATTGGTCGTATTTAAAATCGTTTTCGGTGCAATGGCTATTCCACCCACTAATAACCACCTCCAATATTATACAATTTAAGCTTATCTAAATGTGGACGTAATTGTAATCAATAAACATGCCCAGTTAATGTCTTCAGTCCCATTTCATGTTATTATGCATGTGGGTCTGAGGATTTTTGTTTTGCATGATTATTACATTTATTGGACTGCAGAGAATTTGCCATTTGTTCGATTTTTTTTTTTGAATTATCTTCGCTTTTCTTAATCTAAAGCATTCATAATCTAATAAAACAGCAGTGCATCCACTACTGTATCGGTAACTCTCTGCTACTTGTGTGGCATCCTGTATTAAGGTTTAGAGCAGTGGGAAACCTAAAGGGAACACCGAGTTAAGTCTGCCAGTTGTTGTCGCTGAGTGTAGTCCAAGCGGAGCCACTGCAAAATGAAGGCACCGGCCAAGAAAATGTTTGGGATATTAATATCTCCCTGATATTTTAAACCTATTTAGTGCATTATTTGGACTGATCACACACCACTCCATGTTCAGCTGTAGGTTTGAGACAGACGTGTTGTTTGAGAAGAAGCTTTTAAGACTGTCATACAGCTTATAAACTAATGACAGCAGGGCAGTGATAACCTGTCCCAGGATTTTCTTTGGGATAATTTTCATTCCTTTCCCCCCATGACTGCTGTCTTTGGTTCCCTTTGTCTCTCTTAAGGTTTCTTTGCAATGACTTCTTGTTTGATTTTGATAACTTTCTGCGTTTTCTGTTGATTTTTGCCTCATTTGTGATCCTCTGTCCACACTCATTAATTTCACCTGCGTTCAATTAGCTCTCTGTGTATTTAGCCCTGTGCATCCTTTGTCAGTTGCAGACTTGTCTGTTTCCCTTCCGCCCCAGTGGTTCTGTCTCTGTGTGACTCCCCAAGGCTTTGTTTTCCTTTTTGATCCTTCCAAGTTATTAGTTAGACTTCATTTTGAGTATGGTGCTCACTCTACAGTGCCTTTTGGTGTGTAGAATTGATTACATTAATTAATGCCAGCTTTGTCTCCATCCTGTTTTCTTGTGTCTGCATTTGAATCACCTCTGAACTTTACGCTAAAACTAGTCATGGAAGAAATGAGCTGCATTTTCTTTGATTAGATTCTAGATACAACCATGCACTGGAAGACAAAATGTCTATACTGTGTGCTGTATTGTGAAAAATGGATCTGTCGCATCAGAAAACAGCCCATTAAGAGCATAGTTCGTATGTTGTCACAGTCAAACTGCTGATTGGCTTTATCCCAGAATCTCACAGAGCATTGCCACAAAGCTCTTTGGAACCATAATTCACAATCAGTCAGTAGAAACTGTTGGACCACATCTGTGGCAAATCATCTTCTCTGAGTTTTTGTCAGTGTGCTTACCTCTTTCCTTATCAGCTTTTGTGGGGCTGCAGCATGTTGAAACAATCCCAGAGACAGTCAATATAGTATAAGAGCTGTCTGAGTAGTTGCAGATCAATTTTAGAGCATATTTAATGAATTTTCTCACATTTCTTTCACTTGAGTCCATGTTTGAACTTGTTATTAAATGCACTATTATTTCATATGACATATATACAACATATAAGTAAACATATAAGACATCCATTTGCATAAATGTTGAATATTTGCAGCTGGTCTTTGATGCCAGCTGAAAAGTCAGGGATAGTTAGTTAGGAAAGTAGTTATGCTGTAACCCTAACAGCAATTATCCGCCTGAAGGGTTTATGCTCAAAGTGTAAATATCACACTTTTTTTTAGATGAGCAGCTTATCTGTAATACAAATTGCACACTCATCTAAGTGAATGTACTTGTGTCAGTCTAAATATTGAGGAACAGCATATTGTAACTGAACGGTTACGTGCAAATATTACAAATAAACAATGTTAGACAAACAACTGATGAAACGAGCTGATATAAGAGTGTACAATTAATAATAGAATAATTTTCACTGTTATTTGTGATATGCTTTATTATTCTTATACTGTGTAGTACAGTCACTGAAATGTCCAGTCCTGAAGAGTGATTAATGGGATCATTGATTAGTTCATGTTAACTAAGAATATAAGTAAGTGAATGTAGAGAAACCTTATATGTGTCCTAGGAAAGTAAGCAACTGATTCTCAAATCAAGTTATAATTAAAGTAAAACAACAAAAAACCAAATAACTGTCATATTTATTGGTATTTATAATGGCTCTAGACCTTTATAAAGAATTAACCATGTGAAAAGTTTTTATCTAGCTAAATATTACAGTTTGCTAATTACTTGGTACTTTTTTTTTAATTTTCAGCTTACTGAGGAAGTAAACTGAAAATGTAAAGTTCTGAAATGGCTTGTTGTGGCTGTTATTTGTGGATGTCACTTTTAACCAGACAAGTTATCACCAAGGAATTCATATATCATCGGCAGCCAAGTACGTTCAGAATATTTAATTCTCTGTTCAGTTATTATGAACATCGGGCACTGGCAGAGGCACAACGATCACGTCCAGACACTATCAGCTGAAGTTTCTTTTTCTTGCGTGTTGCACACAAAACAAGGCAAGGACATGTTTTCGCTACAGTAAATAGTCTGGTTAAGGGGTGTCAACAGAGCTTGCAATAGGGGTTTGGCAGAGACAAGACCATTTAATATCCAGCAATGTGAGCTGAACATTTGGCTTCACGTATACAATTCCATTGGCTAATAGCTAGAAACATTTAGGGATAAAGTGTGAAAAGTTTAGTCAGTAAATAATCTTAAATGGTAATGCAACAGAAGCATTCCTCCATGTGATTTCTAAAGGAATATTCCCTGCAAGTTATCAGAAAACTTATGTTGTGCTATATATTTTGATTGTATTTTATTTTCTATTTAAAAAAAATCGAATCTAATATATATTATTACAGTGTGTGATACTGTCATACTTTATAGCTCTCCACTGTTAAAGAGAGATTGTGTGCTATGTTTGAATAAAGTAGAAGTCATTAGACATTAGGGGATTAGGGGTTATGTGTTCAGATGCTGGTTTTCAAAGGAGAATTTAATCGTTTACTTTGCAGCCTTTATGCTGCAAGGCTAGCAAGTCTTCCTGTCTGTCTATAGCGAGTCTTTTAGAGTTAACCAGAAATGAATGTGTTTGATCACCCTAGTTTAACCTGATGCAGATGCTTATGTGACATATTCTGCCGTCGCAGAGGAAATAAATTCATGATGAGCAAGGAGAAAATCAGCTGTCACAGATGATGAGCTCAAATTAAATGAAAATATAAACCCTTCCCTGCACAAGTGTCTCAGAAGGCTTCTAGAAACCTAGGTTAAAAGACTAAAAGTGATAACTACAAAACTGTTTATTCAATTCTGGAACAGTGGATTCAATTGAATCCAATGAATTAAATAAACTGCCTTTGCTACTCTGGTTTACAAGTTCAGCAGCAACTAAATATCTGATATAATTGCCTTTTACTTGAGCTTAAAAATAAAACATGCTGATACATTTTTGATGAGTGGCTCATGCTCATTGTCAAATTTGTGTAAATGCACTTCTTTTGAAAAGTTCATTTAAAATTACAGCCACTCATATTTCCTACACCACTTATTTAAGACTGTTGGCAGTTAGGTTAAGTGACAGCACCAGCATCTACAGGCAAAAGCTAACGTCTAAGAATTGCTTTAATTTTCATTCTTTGAGGAGGGAAAAAGCAAGAAGCCAAACATCGGAGATTTGGGTTATTCTTATTTATGTATTAGACTTTAAACACTGCCAGCATGCCATCTTATTGTGCTGCAGTGAGTAACTACTGATGTGTGAGATCTATGTTAGTATTCCCAAACTGATTTAAATTACAGATTGAACTGTAATTGAACTGAACTACAGATTAAACCCCCCTGGGTTTTGAAAGCTAAATTTTAATATATTGTTCATAATCCATCACTAACATGGTGATTTAGGAAGAATCAAGAAAAGACTGATAGTGTTAGAGAGTAATATGATGATTTTAACTGTTTTAAATATTAAGGGCATATGTTTATTTTATGATTGCAGGTGCTGCTAACCCTGCCTGGTATTAGCGCACTGGTGTTGTATTAGTTCCTTTCAGGAAAAACAAAAAGGAGGCAGAAATGTTGGGCACACCAGGTGTTATCAAAATAAAAAAGAGATTAAAATGATTTCCCAGCATTTTCAGCATAATGAAACTGTCCAGCTTGATGTATAAAATTCAGTGACTTTTACTCGACAGAATCTAATTTCATGCCATCAGGTTTCAAGATGTGAAGCTGATATGGTTTTGTTTTTTTCACAGAAAATAAAGTGTGAGGGGACTTTATTGTAAACATAATCAGAAATACCAGCATGTGCAGCATGCCATGAGTGAAACCTTTTGATTAGTTTCCACCTTCAGCTGTTCAACTTGTTTGATACCTCAAAGGTGCAATGTTTCAAGTCAGGAGCAGGTCTGACAACATGAGGCATTGTTTATTATCCCAAAATATTATTTAAAGAACACACACAAACACATTATATAATACCAAATAAAGCACCTGCATTTACTTTACTTTAACAGTTTGCGCTAAGGGCAAGAGAAAGGATTGAAGAAAAGGAGTAGATTGTGATTATAATTGGGTGTCAGTCCAGGAATGCCAGTATAGGTTTAATCAGTGTTGGGAAGGTTACTTTTAAAATGTATTCCATTACAGAATACACATAACGGGTATGGCAGTCCATTCTCCCTGCAGCACGGACTACACTGCCTATGAGGCTACATTCTTTAGAGCTATACCGGTAGCATTCTGCCTATTAGCTTAGCACAACAACAACAAAAAGGCACTCTCTCACCCAGGAAACACGCAGAGAGAGAGAGAGTGTCACCCTGTAACCATGGCAACCATAACGCTGCCGCCTGGAACAACAGAAGATAGCTGTCAAACAAACCCAAACAGTCCTGACCCACCACAATATGAAACAGGGAAATACCGCCGTGTAATCCGTTTATTTCAACAAAGTAACTGTATTCTAAATACCACCTTTTTAAACGGTAACTGTAACGGAATACAGTTACTCATATTTTGTATTTTAAATACGTAACAGCGTACATGTATTCCGTTACTCCCCAACACTGGGTTTAATGTATAACCTAAAGTTGGGCCCACATACTGTTTTTTGAACCAAAGGCAGAATCAGTATGTAATTTTAATAGTTAGAGTGCGAATGAAAGAATAGAGAAGACGTCCTTGTTTCATAAAGCCCATTTTACATTTGATGCAGGCACCAGGTAATATATTTTGTTCTGTCTCTGAAGTACATCAGTTATTTAAGATTGCTTAATGAAGTACAGCAGCTCGTTATGGATTGCAGAAAGAACAGCAGCCTGGATGTTCAGGAGCTCACAAAAATATCAAGATGAGGTTGATAGATGTTACATTTTACTGACACATTTGACAGGAATAAAATAGAGTATCAGAAACTTTCTATTCAATCATATTGCTTTTCTGCTTTGTTTACAGCACTCAATATGACAGAGGAGAGGAGGACTTGCCCACTAGGATATTTCCCCTGTGGGAACCTGACCTTTTGTCTCCCTCAGCTCATGCACTGCAACGGTATCGATGACTGTGGAAATCAAGCAGATGAGGAGAACTGTGGTGAGTCATTGTTTCTACTTGAACACTTGTTAATAAACTCATATGCCCTGATGCATACATCTTCAAAATACCAGCTCCAGAAAGCCCTTAGGTAATGGCTGACACATACACAGTGTTTGAGATTTTCCTGGTTTATTGGTTCATGTGATAAATTACTGGTGTAGATGCTATAAACACACACACTCATACATACAAACACCCTTGCTTTTGAGTAATAACCACTGCTACTGTATTAGAGAACCTTGCTGATGCAAGCTGTGATTTGTAAATGTACAAACTTAGCTTTCCTTGTCACCTGCTGGTGGCATGGGCAGTGGTATTAATATGCATGCTGGCTGCTGTTTTTTAAAATATGTTAATTTACATCTATGATGTACCTTCGAGTCCTGCACTGGTAAAACTCAGTACTGAACTCAACCCGACCTGGACCCAGAAGCAAAGGTTCAGAGCTGGCTCGTGGCATAAGGACTATAAATACAGCTGATGGGTGTCAGGATACAGTAGGCATGAAGAATTTTGCTCAGAAATAATCATTATTCATAACACTAAATCATTTGCATTTTATGCACAGCTGTCATAGTAGCTCTTAAGCATTATATAATATTAAGTTTGAACTATAAAGTAGTTCGACAAATTAAATTACGATGATAACTAACCAAACTCCTCCAATGTATATATTTTTAAGTGTGTTTCTCATTTGCCTCACCCATTGATTTCCTCCTCTGTCCATTTTTTCTTTATTAACCTTGAAATTATATATACACAGGTAGCTCCATGCCCTCCTGGGTTTTAATTGCACCTTAGAACACACATGCATCAACACTACAATGAGCGGGTGGAGGGAGGTTTGGAGTCTTCTCTCACCCCCGTTCTCTGCGGCCTGCTGGAGTGGGGCGGCTAGGAGGAGTTGGCCGTCCGACTGCGGTCTGGAGTGTGGGGCCTCCCTACTGCTGCGGAGTCGGGCGGTCTGCCTCTCCCACCGCAGGGAAAGGGTAACACCACCTGGGTCTGGGTGCAGTTCCCCCTCCAGGGGCAAGGGTACCTAGACCCGGTTCGTAGAGTACGCTTGGGGAGTGTGATCGTGTGTACAGCGTCTCTTTATGTCTGTCTCTGTCACGGGTCTGGGTCCGTTGGACCCAGTATGTGGAGTTTCATGTTTTTGTTATTCCATGTTTGAGGTTATTATGTTTTGGTTTGCATCAGGGATTGTTTTCTTGTTCTCTTGTTGTGTTTATGATGGTTATGATGTTTATTATTTGAGGTTCATGTTTAAGGATTTGTTCTCGGTTGTATCTCACGTTTAGTTTAGTTCAGGTTCCATGTGTCAATCTGTCTGTCTCTCAGTGTCAGGTCTGCGTCTTGGTGTGGTGTTCTCATTTCCTGTTCTATTGTGAAAGTCTGGGTCTCATGTAAGTGTGTTCGGTTTTACCTTTGTCTCGTCTTGTTGATTATTCCCAGCTGTGTCCACCACCTGTGTGTAATTCCCCTGTGATTCTCTGTGTATTTAAGTCATGTCTTCCGTCATTGTAGTTGCTGGTCCGTCTGTGTTTCCACCCTGCTTCATCTGTGTGTTTCCCTGCAGTCAACCATCATCTGTTTCCGCCCGCTCTCATTCATGTCCAGGTTCGTGTCCTGTAGTTAGTTTGTTCCCAGTTTAGTTTAGTCATTGCTCCGTTCGCCGTTTGTCCATTTCCTTTTTGTATTTAATAAACCACCCTCACACCCATACAAGTGCCTGCGTTTGGATCCTCCTTTATTTTCCACACGGCTCATCTCACTCGCCGTGACAGTCTCCACGTTGGTTGAGTGTGGAGTAAGTGCATATGAGAGCATGAGGGTGGGAATGGATGTTTGTGTCTGTGTGTGCCTGTATGTCTGTGTCTATATGTCAGGTTGGGTATCAGACGCCACCTCTCTGGGGACATCTCAGGCCCTCCAAGGTTTGGAGGCCTATCTCCACCCACCACCACTTCCCCTGCCAGTGGCGGACTCCCTCAGGTGTCGGTGCGTTGGTGGTTCCTTGTGTCTGGGGGTGGGCGTCCGGGTACACACCGGCTCACTCCTTGGCAGCCGCTTATCGGGGCCTGGAGCCTGGGGCTCGTTCGGGCCACTTCGGAGGTGGGGTGCCCCCGGCCTCTCGGGCTGGGGCTCGGTCACTCAGGCACAGCTGGCTGCCGGCGGAGCTCACGGGCGCGTCACTGCAACTCCCCCTGGCTTCTGCTCCGCGGCTGCTGAGTGAGCCCTCATCTGGGACTCTCCTCAGCTCTTACTGGGACAGTGGCGCGGCTGCCCCTCTGTTGGTCTTCCTTGGTCTCTTGTGTTCTGGGGCCTCTGGATGTCTGGAGTTTTGATCTCCTCCATACCTGCTTCATACCCTGGAGGACGGGGCTGTGGCCCCCCCACACCCTCTAGCAGATCATTACATGGAGAAACCTTTGGAATGCAAGCATGCTGATCCACACAGGTATGCACACAGGTGTACACATGGGTATTCACAGACGCGGACTACAGCTTTCTTGGCTGCTGCCTCAAAGCACATTGTGCGCTGTCTATCTTGCGTGCTGCACAATATCGTTTATTACTTAGTATCTACTGATATCTACTGCTAGCTAGTTTATTGTGATGGTGCCGTTTTTGGTTTTTTTTTATTATGTTGCACTTTGTTGTTTGCTTTCTCTTCTGTTTTTTTTCTCCATACAGGTGACCCAGGTGTTTTGTTTTTTTTTTCTTTCTTCCCCCCTTCTCACCGTCTCTTCTCCCCTTTGGTTTTCTTTCTCTCCCTCTCTTTCTTTCATTCTTTCTCCCTGTCCTATCCCCCAGTCATGTCTGTCCCGTTTGTAGCAACTGTAAATAAAATAAATTCATAATTATAATAAAGGTCAATCAAATGGACCAATATGGCAAGGCCATGATGATCCACTTGGTAAAATAAATCCGCTTGGCATCTTTCTTGGCCTTAAGACAACAATTCTGATGGCTAAAGATCCAAACGGGACACACACACAAAAAAAAAAGAAATTATATATACACTAAATACCAAGACACAAGTCGGGTTATTAAATTTGCTTTAAAAATATGTGCTTATCTATTTATATCCTACACTGGAATTACATTACTCAAAGTGATTTTGCATCATAACTAACATTTATTGATAACAGTGAAAAGGTCCAAAGCACCATAAAGCATAGAAATGCAAACCTTTTAATGTTGAAACTTTCTCACGTGTGTTGATCTGCAGCTCAGAATGCTAGAGTAGGCTTATGTATGACTGATTTCAAGAATTAATCTTGAGGAGACAATCATCAATCATGACTCCTGTGGTGAAACAGGTGCAGCTTATAAACCAACTGTCACATTATAATGAATGACATTTTTTTTTCTTCATGACTTCCGTCCATTCCCCAAGCTTCGTTTCGTGATCCTGCAGGAAGAATTATGATGTGATGTCAGTTTTGTTTTCAGCAGGTGCTGGTGTGTAGAAGTTAAAACTATTTCACAGTATGCAATCACAGATTAGTACATTGCTAGATAACACAGTGGTACACTGTAGAAAGAATAGTCAGTTGGTTTGTTTTGTAATCCAGCACCTAACTGTTAAACATATAGTGTCCATAAGTATTTGGACATTGGCACAATTTATAAAAACTGTACAAATGAATCTACAGGGAGTGCAGAATTATTAGGCAAATGAGTATTTTGTCCACATCATCCTCTTCATGCATGTCGTTTTACTCCAAGCTGTATAGGATCGAAAGCCTACTACCAATTAAGCATATTAGGTGATGTGCATCTCTGTAATGAGAAGGGGTGTGGTCTAATGACATCAACACCCTATATCAGGTGTGCATAATTATTAGGCAACGTCCTTTCCTTTGGCAAAATGGGTCAAAAGAAGGACTTGACAGGCACAGAAAAGTCAAAAATAGTGAGATATCTTGCAGAGGGATGCAGCAGTCTCAAAATTGCAAAGCTTCTGAAGCGTGATCATGGAACAATCAAGCGTTTCATTCAAAATAGTCAACAGGGTCGCAAGAAGCGTGTGGAAAAACCAAGGCGCCAAATAACTGCCCATGAACTGAGAAAAGTCAAGCGTGCAGCTGCCAAGATGCCACTTGCCACCAGTTTGGCCATATTTCAGAGCTGCAACATCACTGGAGTGCCCAAAAGCACAAGGTGTGCAATACTCAGAGACATGGCCAAGGTAAGAAAGGCTGAAAGACGACCACCACTGAACAAGACACACAAACTGAAACGTCAAGACTGGGCCAAGAAATATCTCAAGACTGATTTTTCTAAGGTTTTATGGACTGATGAAATGAGAGTGAGTCTTGATGGGCCAGATGGATGGGCCCGTGGCTGGATTGGTAAAGGGCAGAGAGCTCCAGTCCGACTGAGACGCCAGCAAGGTGGAGGTGGAGTACTGGTTTGGGCTGGTATCATCAAAGATGAGCTTGTGGAGCCTTTTCGGGTTGAGGATGGAGTCAAGCTCAACTCCCAGTCCTACTGCCAGTTTCTGGAAGACACATTCTTCAAGCAGTGGTACAGGAAGAAGTCTGCATCCTTCAAGAAAAACATGATTTTCATGCAGGACAATGCTCCATCACACGCGTCCAAGTACTCCACAGCGTGGCTGGCAAGAAAGGGTATAAAAGAAGAAAAACTAATGACATGGCCTCCATGTCATGGAGGAGGAGGGGGGAACAACTAAGCTGTAGTGCCTCTTCACCTCACTGTACAATACCTTGTGCAATACTTTTTGTAAATAGTCAACAGTGCAATAGACTCAATACTTGAAATGTGCAATTCACTTGTATTTTTATTTTTTATTCCTATTTATTCTATTTATCCCCTTTGTATATTTTATTTATATTTGTCTCTGTATTTATATATGTGTGTGTGTGTGTGTGTATGTATGTATGTGTATATATATATATATATATATATATATATATATATATAACAATACTGTAACTTCGGTCGTTGCTGTGCTTTTTTTTGGA